AGGAGAGCCCTCATAAACTAATCATCTCTTAAAAGCCACGCTTCTTAATATCACATTGGCAGTGTTTTAATTTTGGAGGAACACATTCAAGCCATAGCATGAGGAGAAGCGATATTATAGTTTCCAGATCTTGTTTTCTGTAAGGAAATTGGTTTTTCTCTATTTTTTCTTTTTCTTCTTCTAGGCTAGATTATGGACAGATGTGAGCCAGCTCAAATCATGATAATGAAGATTGCATGGTATGATAGAATGAGTTAGATGGAACCTGCTTCCTGAATGATCTTATGGAGCAGAGCTTCTCACTCATCCTGGACCATGTACATACTCTGGACTGTTATGTGGGGGACAAACTTTGATCTTTTTTGAATTACTGTATTTGGGGACCTCTTTATTATATTAGTTTAGCATCTGATCTACCATACATAATGTCTCAGAAGAGGCATAAACCATCACCAAAAGAGGAAAAAAAGGGGGGGGGCAGTTCAGGTAAATGATCTAAAGGGAGAAAGACGGGTAGGGCTGTCACACAGGGAATGAATGGTAGAGATGAAGATGGAAGAGAATTAAACTAGGATCAGATCATATAGGAGTTTGAAGGCTGGGTAAGAAATTTCAAAATTTATTTGAGAGGCAGAGAGACAGCAAGTGAAAGAGCCAGGTGGGTTCCCATCTGCTAGTTCACTCCCCAAATGCTTCCAATAGCTGGGGTTGCATAGAGCCCAAGCCAGGAAAAGCAAACTCAATCAGGTTTTCCAGGCAGGTGGCTGAGGGAACCAAATTAGCTGAGCCATCGACCACTGCCTCCCAGGGTCTGCAGTAGCAGAAGCTGGAGTCAAGAGCTGCAGCCAAGCGTTGAACTCAGGTGCCCTGTTATGGAACACGGGGGTCTTATGCAGCATGTTAACCACTAAATACCTGACTCTAGGGTAAGAACCTTTAGGTATGATGGGAAACAACTGGAAAGTTTTAGTAAGTATCATAATTAGGCTTATCTTTTTGAAACATCACTCTGGCTGCTCTGTGGTCAATCAAGTAAGGTGGCAAAGCAAAGGCAAAGAGATTACTTAGGAAGCTACCACAATGGTACAGCAGAACTAATTTTAGTGCTCTGAACTAGGGTGGTGATAGAAGAGAGCACAATCTCTTAAAGTGTTTCAGAAGTATCACCATGGCTAAAGGTGAGTTGGATATGGAAAAGAGGAGACTCGGACATGGGAAAGAGGAGACTCAAGAATGACTTTGGGGGTCTGGTGCTGTAGCATAGCAAGTTAAGCTGCCCACCTGCAGCACTGGCATCCTATATGGACTCCTGTTTGAGTCCCAGATGTTCCAATTCCAATCCAGCTCCCAGTTGATAGGCTTGGGAAAGCAGCAGAGGGTGGCCCAAGTGCTTGGGACCTTGCAACCACGTGGGAGACCCAGGAGCAGCTCCTGGCTTCGGACCAGCCCAACTCTGACTATTGTGGCCATTTGGGGAGTAAACCAGCGGATGGAAGATCTCTGTCTCCCACTCTCTGTAACTCTACTTTTCAAATAACAAATAAATATTAAAAAAAAATAACTTGGGGTTTGTGCAACTTCTATTTAATGAGATGACTGTTGGGTAGATTGGCCCACCAGGATGAAAGAATGGAAGAAGAGAGCCTGGGATGAGGAGAACTGGGTTTGCATTGCATTTGTTTTTGTTTTTATAGAAAGAGTGAAGACTTGTGACAAGAGCTCTATTTTAATCATGCTACCTTCTACGTGCTTATAAGACATTCAAATAGTCATGTAGGCAAGTATCCCCAAGGTCTGGAACAGCAGCACCTGGAAGAAAACTCAGATGTAGAAGGAAAACTAAAACACAGTTGTCATAAGAGCCTGCAGCATTGTCTCAAGAAGGAAGGTGTAATTAACTGCATCACAAGCTGTTCACTGAAATGAGAACTGAGACTATCCACTGAACTGCGGGTTTTAGCCGAGAAGTGCCATTTCAGCCCAAGGGTAGGGATAAATACTCATACAGAGGATCTGAAGGAAAGATGAGGTGGGGCTGGCTTTGTGGTATATTGGGTAAAGGCATCCCTGTGATGCCGGCATTCCATATGGGCACTGGTTCACATCCCAGCTGAGCTGCTCCACTTCCAATCCAGTTCCTTGCTAACGTGCCTGGGAAAAGCAATGGAAGCTGGTACAAGTCCCCAGGTCTCTGCACCAGTACGAAGACCCAGATCAATCTGCTGGCTCTTGTTGCAGCTATCTGGGGAGTGAACCTGTGAATGAAAGATCTCTCCCCCTATTTCTGTATTTCAAATAAATATGTCTTAAAAAAAAAATGAGGAGGAGAGGGCCAGCATCCCACATGGGCTCTGGTTCAAGTCCCAGCTGCACCTCTTCCAATCCAGCTCTAAGCTACGGCCTGGGAAAGCAATGGAAGATGGCCCAAGCACTTGGACCCCTGCACCCACGGAGATTTGGAAGCTCCTGGCTCCTAATCAGCTCAACTCCAGCTGATGCAGCCATCTGGGGAATGAACCAGTGGATGGAAGACCTTTCTCTCTGTCTCTCCCTCTCTCTGTAACTCTACCTCTCAAATAAATAAATAAAATATTTGGGGAAAAAAAAAAAGTAGAGGAGGTAGAGACCACTACTACAGACATGTGTTTGAGCGAGTTTTGCCGTTAAGAGGAGCAGATAAATGGGTGATAGCTGAAGGCAGAAGTGGGGTCAAGTAAGGACTTTTAGAAATTTGGGTAAGATCCCAATAGCAATGATTAATAAAAAGAATCAGGGACGACAGCTGTACTAAGAGGCACCCTAGGAAGGCCTAGGAGATGGGGAGTCCACAAAGCAACCTTTTATGTGCAAATGCTATGCTCAGTAAGCATCTTTTCCCCAGTCGCTCCTCTTCCAGTCCAGCTCTCTGCTGTGGCCTGGGAAGGCAGTGGAGGATGGCCCAAGTCCTTGGGCCCTGCACCCATATGGGAGACCAGGAGGAAGCACCTAGCTCCTGGCTTCGGATTGGTGCAGCGCACTGGCCGTAGCAGCCATTTGGGGGGTGAGGGGGTGAACCAATGGAAGGAGTCTCTCTCTCTCTAACTCTGCTGCAAAAAATAAAAAATAAACGAGAAGAAGAAGAAGAAGAAGAAGCATCTTTTCAAAAACTGGCAAGGCAAGAAAAAATTGTCACTGTGATGAAGGGGGCTGATTGATGAGAAACATTTAGGGATGATAAGTATGTTTTATATATACTGAGCTCAGTTACACCTTCAAGAAAAGATGAACTGACCTACTTATTAGTACAAGCTTCAAGATAATAATGATGCTTAAAAACTAATATATTTTACAAAGGACCCATCTGGTTCACAGACATTATTCTATACCAAGTTAACAGAGATTTACCGTGCCAAGATTCTCGGCACTTTCATATTAACTTAAATTGCATGGGGGGGGGCATAATAGTAATTGAAAGGCAACTAATTATAAGCAATTATAAGGCAAATTATGTTTATACCACAATTAGTGTTTGAGGTGGTTTAGTGGGCACCGTCTTCCTTTCAATAAGCAATCATCAAATAGTTGAAAAGCTTGTAAAACACGGAAAAACGCCTTTTATCTTTATTCCAAGTATAACAACCACATTCTTTCAATTATTAAAATCATAAAATAATGTATTATCTTTTGTCCCAATCCCCAGTTCGAGTTGGATGCTTTTAAAAAAACATGGCAAGTGCAGCTTCTTTGAACAGGTTTCATGGAGGCATGCTCTTTTAAGACAAGTATACCCTGCAGGGTATCTAAGCTGCAAACTCAAACCACATCTTTTTCAGGGGATTTTTCATGCTGACATTATCTTATTTCACTTTCAGGAATGTTTTTGTCTAAGGATCATAGAAAAAGTCTTTTTTTCTTGTAACAATGGTAATTTTTAGATCAGGCTGCATTTCCCCCTCCCCTATTTCCAAGTGTTAACTTTGTTACCTCCATTTTGCCACCTCCGGTTAAACTGACTCCAACTTGACAACTATTTTATATTTTAGGATATACGATTAGTAAATTCAGTGACCTATTCGATCGATGGTTCTTTAAATTATCACTAGTGATAGCTATGGAATTTTCCCCCATTCCATGAATTTCCATGTGAATCCCTCTTAAACACGAGTTGAAGGCAATCAGCTCATCAGCGGCACAAAACTCCAAGGAAAATATCACCAAACAGTTTCCGACGCTATTTCTTGGAAGAGTTGTTGCAGGCTGGATTCCCACCCGTCGACCCCGAGGGAGCACGGCGCTGCCGGGGCTTCCCCGCGGCGGCTGCGCTCTGCCGACTCCGAGGCTCCCACGACGGGAGGTAGGTAGAGCTGGAGCCCTCCAAGGTTGGGCGCCACGTTGCTGTTCCCTCTTCAAACAGGGAGACGCCGCTCCTGGCTATTGTGTAAACGGGCCGAGGTCTGCGTTCGCCCGCACATCGGCCAAGGCGTGAGCGGAATCCACTGCGCCTTCTAATTCGACCCCTGACAAGGTGTGCGTTACGGGCAGAGGTTGTTTGATTGCCTAGGCGGCGTTCGCCTCGGGGAAACACTTTTGCAACCGGCCAAGTCCCTCAGCAGGGGCGGGGAACTGCACTCGAGGAGAGCCACCATGCCGACCCTGCGCTGGCCACCGCCCGTGCCGAACCCCGCCAGCACCCCGAAGGACCCACCTACGTTCTCTGCTACCCAGTTTTGCGCGGCGCCGCACAGCCCTTCTTCACTCCGTTCCCCCTCGCCCCACCATCTCTGCGTTCGACCCCACGTTCCCAGTCCTCAAGCCGGACAACGCGGCGCGGTCCCCCACTCGGCCCACAGCCAGAGCCAGATCTGCGGGGCAGCGTTCCTCAGGCGCCCGCCGCCAACCAGCCGCCGCTCGGCAGGAGAGCGATTGACAGGCGGCGGCAGCTAATGAGCCTCGGGGGGCGGGACCATGCGTCACTTCCGGGCCTTTCGGGGGGGTAGATGAGGTATATAAGGTCGGCGCTCACGCAGCGCCCTCGCTTACACAGTATGGCCGGCGACATTAGCTAGCGCTCGCTCAACTCTCTCTAACGGGGAAGCAGCGGACTACAAGAGACTGAACTGTATCTGCCTCTTTTTTCCAACAGACTCACGTTCAACTTTCGCTCATAAAAAAAAAAAAAGCCGGGAAAATTTTATTAATCCTTTTTTTAAAAAAAGTTAATATAAAATATAGCAAAAAAAAAAAAAAAAAGGAACCTGAACTTTACTAACACAGCTGGAACAATCCGCAGCGGCGGCGGCAGCGGCGGGAGAAGAGATTTAATTTAGTTGATTTTCTGTGGTTGTTGGTTGTTCGCTAGTCTCACGGTGATGGAAGCTGCACATTTTTTCGAAGGGACCGAGAAGCTGCTGGAGGTTTGGTTCTCCCGGCAGCAACCCGACGCAAACCAAGGATCTGGGGATCTTCGTACTATCCCGAGGTGGGTGCCCGGGGCTCGCCCACAGATCCGGGCCTGAGGGCTCTCGCCGCTGGGGAGGCGACGGGCGCGGGCGGGCACCGGGTCCCCGCAGCCTTCAGGTGGGGCGAGAGTCGCCTGGGCGGCCGCGGAGGGCGCCAGGCTCCGGGGCGAGCGACCGCGTCCACGCGGGGCCAGAGCCGGCTTCTGCCGCCGCCGTTGCCGGGCCCGGCGCTGCCTGGGGGAGGGGAGGCGCCGGCCGCGTGCTCAGGTAACGTCCCCGGCCCGGCGTGCGGGGCGGCGGGTGGCGCCGCCGCTCGGGTGGTCTTGCAGCCGGCGCCTCCCGGGCCCTCCCAGGGTAGTCGGCGGCCCCCGGGCGAGGGGCTTGGGGGTGGGGGACCCCGCGCGGTCCGCGCCGGGCAGGTGTGGCCCGGCGGGCTTAGTCAGGCGCTAATTCGGGCGTGCCCGCCTCGGGAATGGAGGAGGGAGGGAGCTGGGCTGGAGCGGGGCTCGTGCTGGCCGGGGGCGTTCCCGGTCTGGGCCGGGGGGGACTGGCGAGCAGGCCTCGAGCCCGCGCGGTCCCCGCGAGCGGGCGGGCAGCATGTGTCGCTTGGGCGGCGGGGATTGGGCGGGAGCCGTCGTGTCGCAGTGGCTGGGCCCCACCGCCGCCCTAACGCGCTCTGCACCAAAGCCTTTGGGGCGGCCCGGGGGCCGGCCGCGGAGCCGCCGAGGGTTGCTTCCGAGCCTCTTGACCTTGGGTTGTGTAACCTGTTAGGGAGTCGGCGGGATCCGGGGGAGCGGGGCTGGGTGGGCTAGGGGCGCGGGCCGAGGTGAGGTGGTTGGCCTGCGTTTACGGGATCCATGCCCGATTGACCTGGGACATAATACCTTTAATGCCTTAAGCTGGGGCAAAAGACCGGCGCCCCCACTGCCACTGTGAGCAGCCATGCGCGCGCGAGCTGGCCTCAGCGGTTTTCGGGGTCTCGCCCTGGGAATCCCAGCGCAAAGGCGAGCTCAGGCGACATTGAGGATGCCTGGGCGGTGTTCCCGGCGGCAGGCGCACGACGAGCAGCCCCGGGCCTTCCTAGGCCGCTCGCCGCTCCCCCGGCCCCTCGGCGCACAAGTGCGGGCGAGGGTGGCGGTGTGGCGGAGGAACCGGCGTGGCCCGCTTCATTGAGAGGCGGCGACCAATGAGCGCCGGAGCCCGGCCGAGAGCCTGGCCTCAGGGTGTGGGCCAATGGGCGTTTTAGGAATGTTGGCTGCGCTCGCAGCCGTCCCCCGACAAAAAGCAACTGGAGGAAGATCCCGGCGGACACGTGCTGCCGAGACTTTAAGGCACACTTGGGAAGCCCAGCTTCTAGTAGCTGTCTTGCACGATTTCGTTGTAGAAAGAAGCAGTCGTAGCTAAATGTCACAGGTCTGATTCTCAAGCTTTGTGTGACGCTTACAGTGGCTTATGTAGCGCTCACTGTGTGCCAGGCTCGTTTCTGAATGCTTTAACATGTATATAGTAGGAAGTGGTGGCTTTTCTCGAAATAAACGTGGGGGAGCTTACTGTTGCCTCCATTTCACAGATGGAAAAGCTGGTGTTTGTGATGGGCGTTCGGAAAAAACGATTGCGATTAGAATTATCACCTAGAAAATCTTGGCAAGGAAGAGCTGAATAAGAACAGCCTTAGAAAATAAATAACTAAAATTGTGTTGCTCTGGTTTCTTACATGTTTGAAGTCTTAATACTTTGTAAGTATGTAAGTACCCCCCCCCCTTTTAATAAAGGCCAAAATGCCAGAATTTAAGTTTTTGGCTGGTACGTTTGCTGAGTCAAGGAGGGGAAGAAAGGCTTTTTAAAAGACAGCTTGCTTATTAAAAATGTTTAAGAACCACTTTCACTTTGTACATTCATCAGCTAAAATCGTTTTCCTGCTTAATGGTTGTTCATAAAATGATGGCAAAAAAAAAAGTCTCGAAGTACTGAACATTCTGTTCTTTGTAGAGTTCATGATTTAGTGCCATACATTTTGTGAACATTCAACATTCATTAAGCCACTGATGGCAGCCTACCATCATATCACACATGTTGTGTAGGTAAAGCAAGTTAAGCCAAGTAATTGCAAGGTTTTCTACAATATTGGGTTTACTAAGAAGCCCATTGGAAATCTCCTGAGGAACATTTGTAGTGACTAGTGAAGAACAGATGCACTGGTTATTTACTACAGGGTAAAAACCTTAAAAATATGCTAGGTAAATAATATAAAATGAGTGGCCTCGCAAGAAGGGATGGTTGAAGGAGGTCTTTGAGGAGGTGAGGTTCAGATCCATGCTGAAGTACACGGCTTCTGGAATAATAAGGTCGAATTCAAACACTTTATAGTCCTGTGAACTCTAAAATGGAGGCAGTTTTTGGTGCTTACCTCATGGTCGTTATGAGGATTAAACAGGTTAACAAACATACTTAGGTGTTATCTTTACCTTTGATTCTTTAGGGGCAAAATTTTTTCCCTTTTTAAAAACATTTTTATAATTTTTAATTTTATTTGGAAGGCAGAGTTCTGTCCCCCTGGTTCACTCCCTAAATACCTACAATAGCTGGGGAACTCCATCTGAGTATCCCATGTGTGTGGCAAGGGACCTAAGTACTTAACCATCACCTGCTGCCTCTCAGGGTACACATTAACAGGATGCTGGATATGAGTAGGAGGAGCTGGGATGTGAACCTGCTCTCTGCTGCAGGCATCCTGTGACAGTTGTTGCATTGCACCAAGTCCTTTGCTCCCCCCCTTTTTTTAAGCAACCGGGGCTGTAGAAGAAAGCTTAAATTCAGATTTACATCCCAAAGGCTGTACATTAACAGTTGCCCTGACAGTTTGGCATGCAATAAGTTGCTTTATTTGAGGAGAGGTAATAGGGTCACCAGAGAATATCAGACTGTTTGACTACATTGATCCTTGAACAGAATAACCTACTAGTTTTCTTTTTATTTAATAAAAATTTGAAATTCAAAAAGTCCTTGCATGTTATCCCACTTTTAGTATTCCGTTAAAATGTGAATAAAAGTTGTGGTTACAAGATACTAACAGACCGTATTAAAATAAACAAGTAAATAAGTGTTAGACATATTAAACATGAAGATATAGAATTAAGAGAGAAGCCTCAGTTGTCTACAGAGACCATTTCTCTGGATGTTAGAGACATTAAAAATAGGATATTGTGGGAAAAATGAATTCAAGAAGAAATAGAAATCCTAAAATAGTCAACAGTTACATTAATAAAAGACTGCTGCATTGTTCCTATCTTCTCTCCATACTCCTCCAAGAAATAGAAGGACCACTCTTCCAGGCTCATTTTGCAGTTAGTATAATTTTGATATAAAAACCTAACCAAAGGTGCGGGCATTGTGGCATAACGGTTTAAGCCACCTGCAATGCTGGCATCTGATCTAGCTAATGCACCTGGGAAAGCTGCGGAAGATGGCCCAAGTCCTTAGACCCCAGAATCCACGTGGAAACCTGGATGAAACTCCTGACTCCTGACTTCAACCTGGCCTAAACCAGGCCCTTGGGAATGAACCAGCAGGTGGGAGTTCTTTTCTCTCACTCTCTCCTTCTCACTCTGCCTTTCAAATAAATAAATAAATAGATCTTAAAAGAAAAATAATAACCTGACCAAATGTAAAGGAATTGGGACTCACAAACTCCCGATGGGATGTGAAAGGATACAACCACTTCGGAAAATGGTTTGGCAATTTCTTAAAAAGTGAAACATCTGTCAGGATTCAGACCATTCATTTTTATTTACCCAAGAGAAGAGGAAATAGTTCTTTATACAAAGATGTGATTGATCATAGTAGCTTTGTCTGTAAAAGCCCAGAAGCTGGAAACAAATATTAACAGGCAAGTGAATGAACAGATTGTAATGTGTTTATCCTATAGCATACTTCAAAGCCCTAAAAAAAAAAAAGATATGCAAAAACTTGAGTAATAAGTAGTGATACTGAGTGAAAGAAGCCACCACCACCCCCCAAAAAAAGACTTGAGATTTCTATAAAACTTTTTTTTTTTTTTTTTTTTTTTTTTTAAGATTTATTAGACAGAGGCAGAGAGAGAGAGAGAGGTCTTCCATCTGCTAGTTCACTCCCCAGATGGCCGCAACTGCCGGAGATGGGCCAATCTGAAGCCAGGGGCCAGGAGCTTCTACCTTGTCTCCCTCATGGATTCAGGGATGGAAGGACTTGGGCCATCTTCCACTGCTTTCCCAGGCCATGTCAGAGAGCTGGATCGGAAGTGGAGAAGCCAGAACCAGTGCTCCTATCGGATGGCAGCTTTACCTGCTAAGCCACAAAGCTGGCCCCGATTCTATAAAACTCTTAGAAAATGCAAACAAATATGCCAGAGATTGCCTGAGGCTGGGGTGAAGGAAGTTGTGGATTACAAAGGGAGATGAGGGACCATTCATTAAGGAGTGCATTTCTGACTAATAGAATTGGACATCTTTTTTATTATCTTAATTGGCCATTTGGGTTTAGGAGATACTTGGTGTTTTGCCTCCTTTTTTGTTGAATTTCTGTGCAATTTGTCAGATTACATTACAGAATCTATGTGGCTTTCCTTTTCATTTTCTAATGGTACCATCATCGTAAGTCTAAAATTTAAAGGAAGCATATTTTATTAATAGTTTCCCTTTAGTGGTCAGCAGTTTTTTGGGTTTTTGTTTTAAGATTTTTTTTTTTTCTCGAGTCCTGGTTGCTCCACTTCTGATCCACTCCCTGCTTAATGCACCTGAGAAAGCAGTGGAAGATGGCCCAAGTTCCTGAGTCCCTGCCATCCATGTGGGAGACCTAGAAGAATCTCTTGGCTTCTGACTTTGGCCTGGAAGTGAGCCAGTGGGTGGAAGACATCCCTCTCTTTTTTTTTTTTTTTAATAAAACTGCATTTATGACATCCCTCTCTTAATCTCTTCCTTCCTCCCTCCTTCTCTCTCTGTCTTTCCCACTCTCTAACTCTGCCTCTCAAATAAATATATAAATC